TTCTAAGGAGAGGCCTATGTCCAGCAGTGGACTAGTATAGGCTGTTGATGATGATGATGATATTTACTAGCTGACCTGGCAAACGTTGTTTTGCCATATACATTATTTCTAGGAAATATTGAAATAAAATTAGGGGTGCGTTTAGAGGTATGAAAAATAGATGTTGGCCGATTCTCAGACCTACCCGATGTGCACACAAAATTTCATAAAAATCGGTCCAGTCGTTTCGGAGGACTATGGTAACTAACATTGTGACACGAGAATTTCATATATAAGATGAAAAATTGATGTTGGCCGATTCTCAGATCAACCTGATGTGAACACAAAATTTCATAAAAATCGGTCAAGCCTTTCGGAGGAGTATGGTAACTAACATTGTGACACGAGAATTTTATATGTATATATAATATTTACTCAAATTACTAAACACTTGTAAACAAAGTCACTACTCGACATAACTATTTCTTCAAATTTGTTTATCTCTATTAAAACTAAGTTCAACAAGTCAGCTATTAAGCATACTGCTAAGTGGAAACCATAAACAATAGCATTAATAGACATGTCAGTCGCCTTTTGTTGACTCTGGCCCTCATCATGGAGCTTACGCGACCCCATTTACCAACAAGATTACAATTATGAATTTAGATAAGATAAGGTGTCCTTACAAAGTGAAAAAGTCAGATTTTTGCACAAACATCCGCCTTATTACTTGATGCATTATCTATACTAGTCTATACTAATATTATAAAGCTGAAGAGTTTGTTTGTTTGAACGAGCTAATCTCAGGAACTAGTGGTCCGATTTGAAAAATTCTTTCAGTGTTAGATAGCCCATTTATCGAGGAATTCTATAGGCTATATATCATCACGCTAAGACCAATAGGAGCGGCGCACCAATGAAGAATGTTTCAAAAAACAGAGAAAATTTATTACTATTGAGAGACGCAGACGAGGTTGCGCGGGTCAGCTAGTTTAAAAATAAGCTTAATAAAAACGCGGGTACATAACAAAAACAGACGACTCAGATATTAAACAAGTGTTATATAATTTAAATACCATCAATTGTACGCTAATTGAATCTGTTTCCGGCTCAATAGCTTGGGTAGCAGCCATTTGTTCCATTAATTTTAACAAGAAACCAATTAGGTCGTGTATTGTAAACGACACCACTGAACCACACCACTGGGGTCTCGTTTTCATATCTTTTTTGGTAACGACACCACCGTTAGGATGATCTAACACAAAACTTATGAATGAATCGATATCAATCAATTTGACAGCTTTCACAGAAGTTTAAAGCTTTAAAGATAGCAGATGAAGTGAAACAAAGATACGGTCACAAAAATTAATAGGTATTGGATAATATCGGATCAAGTTTTTAAATTAATCCAGTTTCTTTTTTGCAATGGATACAATTATTATGATGTACGAATACGCATAAAGAACCACTCTTGAGTCTAAATGCGGAAACCGAAGCCCACAACCAATACCAATACCAATGATGTACGAATCTTTTGTGTAGTCGACCAATTTCAACATTATCATTAAATTTCTATTTTTTATTTTTAAAGGCTTACTAGCAGCTCCAGCTAAACTAAATTGCTTGTGTTAGGAGTGGGTTCACGTCGATAGTCGGATTCGAAGCCACGACCTCTTGACGACAACCGCTAGCCTTAACCACTAGGCTACCGCCGCTTAAATATTAACACATAAAGAATTGTTTTATTTTACGTTATACATCACTAGTCACTAGACATCACTAGTCAGCAGTGGTATATTTCAGTAAAACGACACGTTTACAATATACGAATTAGGTACATTAAAGTTCAAAATATATAAAAAGGATATCTGTGTCGTCTAATTTTAACCAAAACTAACTAGAATCCTGACTATACTCTCTAGTTTATGAACTTAATTTCAATCTTAGAAGAATGCAGCTTCGTGCTTGAAAGCTAATAAGACAAAGCGTTCTTGTAGAGTAAAGGAGTCTAATTTTAGCACAAACATCATTTTAATTACTAGATGCGTCAGTAAAATAAATTTGAAAAAAGCGTTGGGTGCCTGTTGTCAATAGTAAAAAGCACCCCACGCCTTTTTTCAAATTTATTTTCTGTTTTTTAGTTTGGTTTTCTATAGAAAGCGTGTTTTTTAGTTTTTTAAAACAATTTTTTTTTTAATTAGTGTATTGTCATCGGTCCTCGATAATCTACAAAGTGTGAACGAATTCTGACCGTTTAAAATCACGCCCACAGGAGTCGGAAACATACTAACAAACATACAAGTGAAGCTAATATAAAGCGTGTAAAAAAAGCTTTTAAGAAGGATAAAAATAAACGTGTGTTTGTAATAAAAATGAACGACTAAGGGTTGTACAGTAGTTAAATCAGTTTCAGTCAGTAGAAGTTTTAATAAACTACTTGATATACTTTTGATCATCATCTTTCTGTCACAAAGTTAAGAAAGAAGTAATAGGTTATCTTGGTATGGACATGTCATGCGGAGGCATGAGGAAAATGTGGCGAAGAAAGTTTTAGGTATGAGAGTTGAAGGGTACAAGAGAAGAGGCAGACCGAAGAAGAGGTGGATGGACTGCGTCAGGGAGGATATGGCTAGGAAGGGAGTAAACAGTGAGATGACGCATGACAGAGTAGAATGGAAAAATCATACATACTGCGCCGACCCCAAATAAAATTGGGAAAAGGGTAGGCAGATGATTATCTTTCTGTCACAAGTTATTTCACTAGTTAACAAGTTCCTATCACATCTTCTTATATATATATTGAAACGAAGTTCCTTATCGCCCTGAGCGGATGGGACCGAGACCGAAAAAAGTGTAACAAGACTTGACACTTCTTGCGAAACTTCATTCCGACCGGGAGTCCATAGACCATAGTCCATAGACCCTCACGCCGTTTTCTTTTATTCTATAGGGGACAAAAGATAAGATTATTAGGAGGAATGGCGATTTCAGGCTCCGATAAGGTTATAGGTGTTTGTGTGAGTGAGTGAGTAAAGTGAGGTCACTTTACTCACTCACTCACACAAACACAGACGCAACATAAGGCGAGCGCAAACAATAAACAGTTTTAAGAAAATGATTCAAGAATTTTATGTATCGTAATTAAGACAGCTACATATTAAGGTATAATGAGTTTTTTTTTTTTTTATAAATGATATACAGTAGTTATGTACGCATGTATATTTGCTGGTATGTATAAGTATTTGTTTTTATGTATATAAATATGTATGTGTATATATGTGTAAATTTATTATGTTATATATATCTAGTTATCTGTTTTAGATTAGTTAGCAATTAACCTTAAAAACTCATTTCACCGTCAACTACTACTCTCTCTCCGGAACATTTTGATCCAACCTAAGGTTGCCTGGAAGAGATTGGTCTTAGCAATAAGACCGCCCTTTGTACATAACATATCTGACACTTTATGTACCATACTTCTTGTAAAACGGTGTTCAAATAAAGAGTTTTCAATCTATCAACCTTAACACCGTTTATCTGTGAGGCCGTGGAATCACTCCGGTCGAGCCTGGCCTATGCTAAAAGTAGCCTATGCTAAGCGCCAATAACGTAGCTCTCCATAGGTAGAAGAATTTTTAAATCCGTTTAGTGGTTCAGGCGTGAAAGCGTAACAAACAAACAAAACTCACTTTTACATATAAAATACTTTTTTTTTGAAAAGACAACTTCCGCCTTAGGAATATATATCCCGTGGGGAATTTAACAAACATATATGAAACGGACACAAAGAACACCCAGTCTCAGAACAACAATTTGGAGATCACAAAGTGGTGTTCGATGTGAGGATCGAAGCGCAGTAGGAAGCGGCGTGGCGACCGCTTAAACCACTACGCCATAAATGCAGTCATTCAATTAACGATTGTGGGATTTGCCCTAGCCTACCCTATTGATTCACCAAGTATTAAAATCTATGATTTAAATCGTTTATTTTTATATTATTTCATATTCTTTTTATAACTTCCATCGACCGCAATTATTAATCGTAATATCAAGTTGATATCTCCACGCGCTCTCTTTAAAAATGGTCGCAAAGTTATTGGTTTTGCACGTTTCAACCAAGCTGTGAATTTAAGCTAAGAAATCCATAAATCGATCGCTAAGCTTCTCCTAACTAAGTTAAATGCCGCAAAATGCTATTAGTTCTATATTTACGGTCTCTTTTCGCTCGGATTTTAAAGCTTTGAAAGTAAACGAAAAATAGAATCGACTCCAGGTTTTAATACGTATGAAATGGATATAGATATAGATATAGCGTCGACGACCGAATATCGTAGTGGTTTGTGTAACGGACTGCTATTCCAAAGGTCGCGGGTTCGATTCCCGCTCAAGTCAAACATTTGATTGCATGAACATTTGATGTTTGATGATTTAATGTTTGATTGATAATAAGTTTGTATTTACAAAAAAAAAAGTATATATGTATTTATATCAGTTGTATAGTACCCATAGTACAAGCTCTGCTTAGTTTGGGACTAGATGGCGTTGTGTGAATGTGGTACAATATTATTATTATTATAGGTTTTAGGAGACGTAAAACTTTTTCAGAGACCGGAAACTCGCTATTGCTGTACTCGTTAAGCAAGTGTACTTTTACTAAAAGCACCAGTTACGAAACCTCCTTCGTAAGGAGAGGCCTATGGCCAGCAGTGGACTATTAAAGGCTGATAATGTTGTTGACGATGACCAGTTACGATAAGCCGGGCTTTTAAGACGTAAAAAGAAATGTGTGACGGAGGAAAATGGAGCGAGCAATGGTTACCTGTATAATAAATTTTAAATATTGTTGTGAAATACCCTTTAAGTGAGACTGTCTGATTAGAACTGGGTGAGGTTAATCCGTAATCACTTCATCGCTAATCCGACGTCAGCCATTAAGTTACCGCTGACCGCTCCAATTTTTTTACAAAGTAGATATTCTCAACAAAATAATAAATAGTATATAAAAATAATAATATTCTTACCTCTTAACTCCATAGACGTATGCGATGCCAATGCATTCGAAGAAGGCAATAATCAACAGTGGGAAATTCCCACTGTACATGTCGAACAGTAGAAATATATAACTGCCGGACCCATGCGCAAATGCCATAGACAATAAGCAGCATATCAGACATATCCCTCCAGTTAAATACTCCTTTCTTAAATTCGGGAATAGCTTCATATCGACTATGGATGTGACGACTCCTTCGAGGGTCCCGAACTGAGAGTCTATTCCGAGGGTGAAGAGCATCAAGAAGAAAAGGACGGACCAGAATTGTGCGCCAGGGAACTGGTTGATGGCTTCTGTGAATATGATGAATGCAAGCCCCGTGCCTGAGGCTGTCTGTAAAAAAAGAACAATTAAGATTTTTATTTTTGGTTGGGAACTGACGTCGTTTTGCATTGTAAACTAGTCAACCTTTGGGTGATATAGAGTTCAAAAATATTAATAAACCTTCAAAATATTAAAATAGATAATATAATTTATTATACTACCCACATGTACATTATTTAGGAGGTTTTGCCAATGTGTCAGTGTATGCTATAATTTGAAAACTTCCGCTTCAGCCCTTAGGCATTAAATCCGTCGATTCATAAAATAGTGCATGAAGTTAAAATATAGAAATAAATAATTTGAAACACTCTTAGACCAACTTTTACGTTCTAACGCTAACAGTGAAATTAGTAATTGATACTTCATTGAAGAAAGTAATCACTGTTACTCATTCTTATTTAAAGAATACTGCTAGTAAAAGACCATATTAAACAGAACTTTTAAAGGAGATTTAAAGGTACTGAATCAGTCAGACTGCTCGAATTCATTTCTTGACTAATAGAAAGTTGAAAAATATCTATTTAAATACTAACAGAATTAGGACTAAATCGAGGCCCCACACAGGGGGGGAGGTCGTCTACTCGTCTGTAGAAGGCCCGAGGTATGTCGGGGCACCAGGGACTTCCTTTCTAGGGTATACCTGGTTCCCCGGCTATAAGTACCCGAGACGGTTTTAGTCGGTTCGAGTCCGACATGCCACCGATAAGTGGTATCCGAGGGGATTTCCGCACGGAAAAAAAAGGACTAAATCGAGGCGCTGTGAAGCCCATCTCACGATAGTTGAAATATCTAGAAAGTCTCATTTTAAAGGGGTTTGTCATCTACAATGGTTGCACTGATTGCCTTCTGAATTCAATTGTTGTAAATTCGTTGATATTTAAATGTTTTATTTAAATTAGTATGTTAATAAGACCCATGCGCAATAACCTCAGAAATTAAAAAAGTTTTCGGTTTTTCTATAAGCTTTATGAAATGTTTATAACTTGACAAATCCTATACACGGCCCTCTGATCCAAAATTAGGTTGAGCTTGTGCTTTGGTAACTAGACTGCGCTGATACGCATGCTTATTAATTGTATTTGTATATTTTGTCCATATTAGAGATAAATTACAAGTAGAAACAATAAATGATCGCGGTCATTGCACTATTATTCGTCAGTATGTAACAATCAGGATTACTAATCCCTTAAGAAAGAACTAATGAAAAGAAGATTCAGCTCGTCTGTACAGTAAAATTTGTTTTTATATCTACCTTTTTGTAGCAATATAAACAAAGTTGCGTATAATCTGATCATACTTACATTATCCAGCTCCTGTTGTAGATCACAGTGAGGCAGATGTGGCATTACAAGTTTGGTCAAATTCCCATAAAGCTCCATCATCACAGTCTGCCCAGCCTCCGGCAGTTCCATAGACTGAAACGCCGGTCCAAACATGTCCAACAAAGTCTCGTTCCTGACATCCAAACATTTCTCATACACCATCGTGGCTTTAAACCCAATTATAGAAAAAACAACGATTCCCGCAAACATAGACGTTAAACAATTTGTCATAGAGACCATAATCGCATCTCTGTAACAGTTATTGTCCACTGGATTGTAGGACGAAAAAGCTATCAAACCTCCAAAAGCGAGGCCAAGCGAAAAGAATATTTGCGTGCCTGCTTCTAACCAGACAACAGGGTCTAGAATCCTGTGCCACTTCGGAGTGAATAAATGAATTAATCCATCACCCATGCCCTTTAAAGTTATGCCCCTAAAGAAAAATATTACAAGGACAATATAAGGGAAAGTGGCCGTTACGTAAACGACTTTGCCGGAGGAAGCGATGCCTTTGATCATGCATAAGTAAACGAGGATCCAGGCGATGACAAGGGCTAAAGCAATTTTGTAGTTGAACGATTCTGGGTAATTTATGTCTTCGGATATTTGAAGTGTCGTACGGTACCAGAAGTACTGTGTTGGGCTGCTTACCTGGAAAAAATAAAACGTTATTACAAAAGGGTAGTATGCAAAATTTCAAATGAATTGTTTACTATTCCCGCTCAAATTAAGTATGCCATATATTGTGTCTAAAAATCGAAATTCGTTACTGGTTTCAACTTCAATCAAATATTTAAAAAAATGGCAATAGCTGGATATGACGTCATAACTTATTAAACAATTTAATAACTGAAATTACGTTACAATATTTCATAAATTCCTTTTTACAGAACCTTGACGTTTAATAAAGAGATTTGCGTTCACTTGGTGGTCAAACACTGAATAATGGCTTTTATTCTTTTCTGGCTATTGTGAAATATATTTTTATCTAATTTAAATAGACTGCATGAATGGCGAATTGTTTTTGGTATGGTATGGGCAAACGGGGCACGTGATGGTAAGTGATTATAGTTAAATACGTCGCCGTTAAGACCGCCCCTCTTTATTTTTTTTCCGTGCGGAAATCCCCTCGGATACCACCTATCGGTGGCATGTCGGAATCGAACCGACTAAAACCGCACGCCGTCTCAGGTACTAATAGCCGGGGTACCAGGTATACCCTAGAAAGGAAGTCCCTGGTGCCCCGACATACCTCGGGCCATCTACAACAACAGGTAGACGACCCCCTCCCGTGTGGGAACCCCATGTTCCCTCTGCTCCCTGGAAGCGAGCGCGCTTCGCAACGCGCTCGCCGCCACCCCGGCCTGCTTCTGCTAGGGTGACAGATGGCCTCACCTGTCACCCCCAGGCCTGCGCTTATGGAGGACGGAGGTCGTTCTGCGACCTCCGGCACCTGAGTCGCCTGCGGTACCTGGCCCGTTCCCGGGCCTGGCGGGCCGGGAGAGTCCTAAACCTCTCCCGGTCCCGCTCCGCCGTCTCCTTCGCGAGCATAACTTGCTCGCAGAATGAGACGGCAGAGTTCCACGCACTCTCGCTCCGCACGATAGCCGCTATCAGGCTATCGAGCGAGAGAACTCCCACTCCGATGGCCGCCACGAGGTCTCGCCTCTGCTCAACCCACGCCGGGCACTCTGCCAGCGTGTGGAGAGCCGTGTCCACGGTCTGGCCATCGCAGTGGTGGCACTCAGGCGTTGGCTCCTTGCGGATCAGACACATGTGATCCCCGAAACATCCTTTCCCAGTGATCACCTGCGTCACTCGGTATGAGAGGGTCCCGTGACGCCTCTCCAGCCAATCCTCCATAACGGGTCTTACCGCCGCGATAACGGCGTGCCCACGTTAAGGCCACCCCTGAAACGCTTACTAGGTGAAAACCAAATAAAAGAAGTGTTTTGGAGGAAATGTTAGAAGGATCCCCTCCCAACAGTACTCCACAAACAATCACAAATTATGCAAAAATCCGAATCTCCTTAATTTTTTCAAATAGGCATAATGTAACAATGTGTTAACGCTTACTCAGTGACTGTGTTGTTGTGTACTGTGTGATATTTTTGACGTGACAACGTCTTATAATTCGATGAAGCCGGCTGCACGCACGAAAAAACATGACTCATGCGGCGTTACCTCGCTCTGAGGCGTTCCATTTAAGGCGTGAAGTGGGTGACAAAGAGGCACAATCGGCCTCCGCGTTCGGCAGGCGTGCCCGCGTTAAGGCCACCCCTGAAACGCTTACTAGGTGAAAACCAAATAAAAGAAGTGTTTTGGAGGAAATGTTAGAAGGATCCCCTCCCAACAGTACTCCACAAACAATCACAAATTATGCAAAAATCCGAATCTCCTTAATTTTTTCAAATAGGCATAATGTAACAATGTGTTAACGCTTACTCAGTGACTGTGTTGTTGTGTACTGTGTGATATTTTTGACGTGACAACGTCTTATAATTCGATGAAGCCGGCTGCACGCACGAAAAAACATGACTCATGCGGCGTTACCTCGCTCTGAGGCGTTCCATTTAAGGCGTGAAGTGGGTGACAAAGAGGCACAATCGGCCTCCGCGTTCGGCAGCGTTCGACATCTGTCTCTCTCCTACTTGAGTGAGCGATGCGTCCGCGTGGACAGCTGCTACTCGTATACAATAATACATTTTTAAAAAATGCTACCATTTCATCAGTATTTTCTTATGACGTTGTCACGTTCAACTATCGTCAGTAAACCGACTTTACAGACAACCGTTTTTTTTTTTCTAGTTGTGTGTTTTTCTTTTTTGTTTAACCTATATGCTTACAATAACTTCTTTTAGTCTGGCACTAGAAGTAAAAACTTGTAATTTACTCTAAGATAAAAAATCTGTTTCATTTAAAAAAAATATATATATATTATTATAAACTAAATAATTCAATAAATCCAGTCTGTGTTCTTTGTATCTTTTGTTTCAATGTTTGTAGTGTAGGCGAGATTTCTTTCTGTCTTGTCTTGTTCTTATAATAGGTTTATTTCTAAAGGGTCAATCAGTCGGTATAAAATGGTCGTTGTCGATATATCTACGAGTATAGGTGAAGATTTCTTTTAGTAGCCATTTTGAAACAAATGTGGCACACTGAAACATATCAGAATCAGATCAACAGTATAGCAAAAAGCTTAATATTTCCAACAGTATGTGCTATAGAATAAAAAATTGAAATAGTTCAAAACTATAGAGATTTTAAATTGATTTTCTCTCGTTATTGTAAATTTAGTCATATAAAAGGTTTCTTCTGTACCTTCATAACTTGTAAGCAAAATTACGTAACTAACTTAGCACATAATATGTGCATATATTTCTAAAATTACAACCTTACATATTGCCGATAATGTATATTTAATTTACGTATAATTTATTTATAATATCATAGGTAAATATTTGTTGTGATTCCTAAAAACGCACTCTTTACTAAAGTTAACCTCAAAATCACAAAAGTCAGTTAACTTTCTCTTCGTATTAGACGTACAAAGCACAGCCCTACAATAAAGAACGGAATAAGTCCCAATGCATCGGAGTACTGAGGACCATGATTGTGTAGCGAAAGATAACACAGGAAGTAATGGAAATGGCGATTTCTATCGCTATCGGATGGTGTTGGAGATTAACCCTCGATTGTTTATAGTTTGTAGAAGATAGAGGACTTGAAGAGCGTCAGGAACACACACACAAATACACACATTTATCATTTACAATGTTAGGTTAGGTATGGTAATGTAAGTCTAGATATGTACTATAGGTGAAGGTTCTGCGCCTAGCTTGGGATCAGTTAGTCGAGTATTGGGTGTTCCAAGTTAATTTATTATTAATTTTCATCAACAGCCTCTCACAGTCCACTGCTGGACATAGGCCTCTCCTTAGAAAGGAGGTTTTGGCTTACTATACCACGCTGGCCAGACGGGTTGGTATAGGGTTTGTGACAAGTTTTCCTTCTTTTTGCAGTGCTGTCGGGATGCAAAAGAGGCGGTGACATTCCATATTCTGAATCTGTCACCACACGGATATTTATTTTGGAGATATCTAAAAGTACAAGAAAAAGGTAAAGGAAAGAAAGGTATGAATACTTAACTAAGTTCCATTAACCTATGTTAAGTCAAAAAAAAAACAGACCAGAAGAAATAATAACCAGACAAAAGAACAACGGTACATCCAAAAGCTCCTCAGTTTCGTGATTAACGGCGCCCAGATGCGAATCTTTATTAAAACGGAGCTCTCTCATAAATTATACAAGGCCTCATTAACGGCGGTTCATTTAAAAAAAAATGTTAGGTGTATATATACATTTTGTCATTTTTATTATGAACGACTATTGATACCAAAGCTGTTTTCATTGTTACAAATAAATATAATATAATAATATTCAGTCCGAATGTAATTTTTTTTCATCTTAATTTTCGAACTCCATTTTGTTTTTTGTTTTCAAAACAAGAGAAATTACAAAGCGACCTGATTATGGTGGCACAAGAACCCGGTCGTAAGAGTAAATAAAACACTTACTACTTACTCAACCATTTAGATTATTGTATTTAAAACTGAAGTTAAAATTAACGGCTCATTCAAATTTTTAAGACCAAAAGATGATAGTGATGCTTGATTGACGATGATGATACTTTCCCAAATACAAAAAAAAATGATGTTTAAAATAGGTTCATAAATAACAGAGTTCTGAGGTTACAAACAAAATAAATACAGTCGAATTAAGAACCTCCTTCTTTGTTATAAGTAGGTTAAAAATGATAAATTGTTAACATTGTTTGCCCTGCCCCACATAATCCCAACTATTTGTTAATTCGAGTTCTTGTTTTAATAATTTTAAAACTATTGATCCTTTTTAATTATGAACTCGGATAATTGGGAAAACAGTAATAATAATAATATTTTTGGACATTTAACACAACGCCATCTAGTTTCAATATAAGCAGCGCCTATACTGTGAAAGCTAGATTGACTGATAAAATACTTATTTACTAATTACAGTCAAATTATCTGTCATTTATTTAGTTATCTGACTATTACCATCTATCTTACTATACTAGACTCCGTACCGCTAGTAGGAAGTTCTGTATAAGATACCAAATATTCTGCCTAGCCATTGAGTGCTATCAGGAACATATTTACATTTAATATTTAATGGTATGAGCAACAATGTGGTCTGCTAAAATGTTGATTTAAAAAAACAACATAGGTACGAGTATTTATCCATTAATATAAATTTGAATAGTAAAGTAAAGAACAGATGTGTTGAAGTTGTCAGTGTAATCTTATGATCCAAATACAGCCCTAATTTTACAAATGGACTTTTATACAGCTTTATGCTGGTTGCTTTTTACACCAGTGTCAAAAGAATCTTCTTTTTATTAAGGAAGCCATGTCTTTAGAGCTTTTAAGTTATATACGAAAGCAGTGTTTACTCAGTCGGCGCTAAAGTTACCCACTCTGTGATAAAAATTTACTTATATAACGTGGTGTAAAATTGGGCGGGAAATGCGACATTTCATGAACGAGTTTCTAGATTTTAATTTATCTTCTGAGCTTTAACATTTTAATATTCAAACTAAAATAAAGTTACTTGATTCACTAGGATTCTTATGTTCATGGAATTATTATATTATTGCGCTCATAAACATAACATTTTTTTTTAAATCTTATATGTGGAGAACCAAACTGCATTGCATGCCCAAGTATTCATACACATAAAATGTGTCTGTATGTGTATCTATGTGTTGAATTAATATTACAGACACATATGTTATAGAATACTGTTAATATTACTGCTCTAATGGCCTCTTCAATCACCGGACGGACTCTTTGAGCGTGTATATGTATAGCAACGGCGGATTTAGAAGCAAAAGCGTCTTGGCTTAGTTATCTCTGTTAGTTAAAGAGTAATAGTACAACTTATAGAATGTACCTTCTTAGAAAAATACTCACAAAACGCAACATTCTTAAAAAAATCATTTAGAGTTGGTACTTATTTAAAATAGGCATAGATAATATACGAAACAATCTATGTTTATCGTACGTTTCTCAATTGATTGTTGGATTAAATATGATTAATTTGGTTCTATTTCAATTTGTAGAATACAATTTACCTTTAATGATGGAAGAAGGGATGAAGAATACAAAAAAATTGAATTTATTATCGTTTTATCTCTGTCAGTTTATTGTTAAGATATTCAGTCAATTAATATACGAGTAGTAGTCAGAATCAATATAGATTCGTATACATATTTATAGAAAAATCCCCGCACAGTCCCTGGCAGACCCTTTGTCAGTAAAACAAGATTTATTGGAGGTGCCAGCCAGTCACAAAAATCGGATTTCCTTTCAAAAAGTTTTAAAAGCCATAGACATTTTATGTACGTTATTTTCTTTTAAAAATTGGACTTTGGAAATAATTTTTTTATTCATTATTAAAATAAAATTTTGTATGCACTTCTCGTTCTGCCTCTTCTGTTCTCTTTAAGACGAGCAGACGAGTCACTTGATCGCCATTGACTACTACTGCACATGGACTCCTGCAACTTCAAAGTTCATTTTTGGAACGAAGTTCCTTATCGCGCGTTGTGAAAGGGGGCAAGACGGAAAAAATTCTCACGAAAGGTTGTAACGACACTTTTTATTTTGAATTGTCACTTGTCAGTCATTCAGCGCCATCTATCGAATAGATAGGAAATCATTACTTTTCATCTCAGTAAAATTAAAATTTATGTTCTTAGGTTGAGCAAAAAATATTGTATTCGACATCATTTTTCAAGGAGATTTTACCAATGTATAAATTGTTTTAATTAGAAACCAACTGAAAAATATGTAGGTAATAGCCGCTTTGATAGATGGCGTTGTAATTAAAATCGTGTCGAATCAGTTTTACTCGATCGTCACAACTTCGTTCCTATCGGGTGTCCCACGACACCACACGGCTTTTTTTTAAGACAACGCCCGCACAAATAATATACTCACACAAATTTTTTTCCCATGTGGGGATCGACGCTCAACGCTCAAGGCAGTAGGAAGTGGCGAGGAAGCCGTATTTTAGTTATCACTACGGTTGAGCCAACCAAACAGTGCCGAAGCATAGCTCTCCCACATGCAAAGACATATTTTTATTAATGGAATAATAATAAACATATTTATTGGAAACAAAAATTAGGGTAATTTGCATTGCAATTGTGCACGAGAATAACTGCAGTAGTTTGCAAGTGTGACCTCCTCCGGAGATGGAACAAATTCCAATACAAAATATTTATGTATACTAGTGCTTATGTGAAAACTTATGAACAGGAACAAAAGCAAAAATGTGTGTATGAGTGAGTGTGTGTTTATGTGTGTGTGTGTGTGTGTGTGTGTGTGTGTGTGTGTGTGTGTGTGTGTGTGTGTGTGCTGTGTAAGGTGTACTTAGAATGCAAATTTTTAATATAGTTCTAATTTCTTTGTTAGAACGAAAAAATATTATGAAATAAATGAAACACTCCAACAACTCCTAAATATAAAAATCTTTTTCTATTGATAAAAAACAAAGTAATTATGTTAGAATACATTAAAACGTAATGGAAAAATACCTACTTAAAATGCCAGCTTTCTAGTACTAACAATCTAACGGACGGACACACAGACCGACATTACAAAACTATAATAGCTTCCTGTTAGCAGTATAGACCCCTAATAGGCTAAAAGTAATAAAAGTCCAGTATTAACGCCTCGAAGTAAACGTTGACAATAGTTGCACGGTATCCATTAGCTTCGGAAATTGAAAAGCCATTTGGAGTGTTCTTAATTTAATAATATCAATGGTCTCGAGGTCTCGACGCTAATGGACATAAAGTCTCTAGAAGAAAATCTTTTTCGTATAAGCTTTTGTACGTTATAGAATTTCTATTTATGGGTCTTTTTCCTCTGCATGTGTTATATACTTCAAGCCTTACTAATAATAAAAAAAAGAAACCGTGTGGTGACGGATTAAGAATACGGAATGTCACCACCCTTATTCATCCCGTCGGTGTCGCAAGAGCCGACTAAGGGAACAAACTGAACAGAGACGAAAAACTTGACACAAACCTATACCAACCCGTCTGGCCAGCGTGGTATAGTAGGCCAAAACCTCCTTCGGGTTTGTTTCAAGTTTTCCTTCTCTTTGCAGTGCCTGTGTCCTGCGTGGTTTACTCCCTTAGTCGGCTCTTACGACACCCATGGGATGAATAGTGACACTGTATTCTTAATCCGTCACCACACGGACTGAACCTGGATTTTAAGAACATACCAATAAAGATTTGCTTGAAGTACAAGCATGTAATTACAACTTTCGTATTCCGAACACATAAGATATACTTTCTAGCAAAGATTGTCAGTTTCTTAGGGTCATAGATGTCGATAGGTTATAGCTTTATGATATTATGTAAAAATGATGTTCATTTGTGCGCGACGATATAGACAGGAAGACATACGACCGGCCATTATGATACGCATGAAGTCCGGTCTTATATTTCCTTGAAATATGTAACAATTGGAAATGAATAATGTACGGACAAAAGAAGAAAACACTCTCATATACATGTAGGGTATTCTCATACGATTATAGCGTATATATGTTGTGTATCTTCTTCTTCTTCTTTAGCCTTGATCGACCAAATATTTTAGTGTAGGCCTCCTTTAATCCTCTCCACTTTCCTCTGTCTTGGGCAATTAGGGTCCAGTTGCTGCATGCCACTTTTTGGATGTCATCCTTCCATCTCTTATGTTGTGTATAGATCTTGCAGTTTATCGTATAGATCTTGAGTGAAATGTGGGAGAGAGATGCTTGGGCAAATCAGGGCAGTAGTATAATTAAAATGACACATCGGTTTTCAGTAAGGCCTTACAGAAAACCGGTGTGTCAATTATAATTTTCATTCTTCTAAACAAATTATGCGAGAAGCCCAAAATCGATCTAAATGGCGTGCAATGGGAGAGGCCTATGTCCAGCAGTGGACTGCGATAGGCTGATGATGATGATGAAACAAATTATACAAGACGGGTTAGTTACACCATTTATAACGCAAAAAATGAGTAATATTTTGGTTTTTCTCCGTCCCGTATAATATAAGAATAACGGTTAATATATATAAAAATTGAAAGAAAAACATTTTTCTCCTGGGGCTGGGCAGACGCCCAGCTTGGTACCAAACCGAAGGCCAAAACCTCCTTTCTAAGGAGCGGCTTATATCCAGCAGTGGACTATTAAAGTAGACTATTGATTATAATAGCAAAGACAGATACTTAAAAACAGTAGACGTGGCCTCTTGTGACCTCTCCTAGTGCAAAATTACGGTTTGTTCGCAAGATTCCAACTTTCTCA